CTTCTGTGTCTGTGTTAATTGGTTTCCCTTTTCTTTGTTGAAGAGGGTCTGTGCAATCCTTCTGCCTAGTCCGCCATCTTGCCCCGCCTCCTAGAGCTGATTCTTGAAGGCAAAGGAAACTGTGAACAAGGTAGAGGGGCAGGAAGGCTATATGTCTAGGGGGAAATAACGCAGTGGTTCTAAACCAAGGTGCAGGGCAGAAACACTACATTACTCACTGTTGACGAGTCGTTCCTTACTCATAGTGACCCCTCCTTGGGTTTCCGAAGCAGTATCTCTACAGAAATAGATTGCCCAGTCTGCCTTCCGTGGAGTGACTGGTGGGTTGGAACCACCAGCCTTCTAGTTAGCAGTCAAATGCCTTAGGCACTATGCCACCAGAGCTCCTATATACGTAGTCATTTTATTCTTTGGAAGGTTTTAATTTGTTCACTTAAGTACAGTCCTAAGGCAGCACAGCCAGATTTCCTCTAGCTTTGGTACCGACTGCTACTGTTGCTTTATGTGAAGTTCTTGGCTTGCATTTGAGACTGTGTAATGCAAACACTACCTGTCTCTAGGGCTTAGGATCATTTCCAGGGTGATGAGATGTTCATCCACAGGACTGGGACCACTGGAGGGAACAGCAGGGCTACCTGTCCTGCCCGGCCTCATCTTACTCGCACTCTGGGACTGGAGGGGAGGACAGACTCTCCAGGACTATTTTTTGCATTGTTCCTTCTCTTTCTCCCTCTCCTTTTTTGGCCAAACCGTGTTGGTCAATTTGCGTAAGTGTGCTCATGATGATGCATTTGGGTGGCAGCCCAACTTGTCTAGGGCATCAGATTATGTGTAGGAAGGAGTGGGAGGTGAGACGTTGGGTCCAGTGCAGAGAAAAGGGCCTCAAACCTCACACTCGGCTGTGTGTGGACTGATCCTGTGTGCAGAGGTTTTTAGGGCAGGTGGTGGTAGGACTGCGTTTATGGCCTCGATGAAGAGGGGCAGTGGGGAGGCTGGAACCCTGATGCCCTGGGCTTGGCACCACAGGTGGTAAGCGGCTGGCTGCGGAGTTTGGAGCTGAATCTGAAAGGGAGGAGGGGGAGCTTAGCCACTCCCAGCAGCATGTGACATTGGTTCTGTTCCTAGGCCTGCTCGGGCCCAGCCGGTCCGGCTGCCAGAAGGCTGAGAGAACCCATAGAGCCAGCCTCAAGTGCCCACAGCCTCCCTGGACAATTTCCACTTCCCTAAAGGGCAGGCTAGGGATGGTTCCTCTTCGCAGCCTGTGTGTCAGGACAGACCTGTATCCCTGTGGCCCACGTGGGAGCTCAGAATGTGCAGCAGCAGAGACAAACTGTGGTCTCCAGATCAGGCAGACGTGGATGTCTCTTGGCTTCAAGCTTTTGAGAGTCCCCTTCGAGCAGCAGGTAACAGGAAAGCTCCTGGCTGTTTGTTTTCAGCGCAGCAGCAGAGGTACCTTGGATTTGGCCTGGAGGACCCATGGCATGCACAGCACACGTGTGTGGCTGGTACCCCTGTTCGGGAGTTATCTCCTGAGTTAGAGGTTCACCTTGGGGTTCACAGCCCCAGAGGCCCCTAGCCTTGTTAGTGAAGGCAAGAGTGAGGTGGCCAGACCCTCACCTGGGCAGCTGGGAGGGTGACATTTTGATGTTTCCTTAAAGACGACGTGTGTTTTCTCTGAACGCCCTCCCCACTCCAGCCTCACTGCTGCCTTTCAGGGCCTCCAGGTCACTTCCTCCCTCAAGACCCTCCCACGGGCTCCCGTCCTACCTTTTCACTTGGCCAACCAGCTTGCTAACCCGTCTGGTCTGTGATCAGGTGCCACTGCCCCAGGGGTGCCCCCTCAGGACTTCCCAGTCCTTTTGATGCCTTTTGATGTAGGGCCCCACTGTTCACAGTCCAAGCAGCCTGTCCTTTCCTCAGTCACGATTTGGAATTCTGTCTGTACAGCTGATTCTCGTTATTAGCAGATTAGCTAAAGTTTATTCGCAGCCCCCAAATCAGCACTCACAGTGTCTTCACTGTCTTTCATGGACATACCCAGAGTGGTGGAAATTTGAGTGGTCCAACACATGTGTTCCCAGCTCAACACTCTGCCTTGGTTCACTCTCATACTGAATTTTGACCATCCCACCACATGTTAATGAGTGATTGAACTCTCTGGGTCTGCGTGTTCTTATTTGTAAAATGGGTAAACAATAGTGCCTGCCTCAGAATCCTCAGGGTTTGAGGATTCTTTGAGGTAACAGAAGTGGCTGGTCCAGTTAGGGCACATGGAAGGAAGCCCTGACAGAGATTTGTGGTTTGGAAGATTGGGTGGGCAGAGTTGGAGCTTCCCGATTCTCCAGTTTTCTGTAAAACGAGGGGTGGTCAGGCTCGCCGGAAACCCTTCTGGCTTGGACTTCCCAAGATTTCATGAAGGATATTCTGCCTTGCTGGCTGGGATCCCCAGAGCTGGACTCCAAGGAGTCTGTCCCCTTTAACCTGGTGCCCGTGAAAATTTCTTGTCTGGAAGGCACTGAAAAATGAGAAGAGCTTATGGCAGAGCATGACATTAATCCCAAACCAGTGGCATTGAGACTAGAATTCCTTCTTCACCACTGAACTAGCTGGCAGCCTCGAGGCTAGTGGTTCTCCCAGAAGCAACAGCATCAGAATTGCCTGCGAACTTGTTAGAAATGGAATTCTTGGGCCCCACCCTTATTGAGCCAGAAACTCTGGGTGAACCCAGCAGTGAATGTTTTAGCCAGCCCTGCAGGTGATCACCAAGTAACAGTAAAAGAGCCCTCGTGGCACTTGGGTTGAGGTGCTTGACTGCTAACCGAAAGGTCGGCAGTTTGAACCCACTAGCCACTCCACAAGGTAAAAAACCCAGTGATCTGCTCCTACAAAGATTACCAAAAAACCCAAAAAGATTACAGCTTAGAAAACCCTAGGGGGCACTTCTCCTGTCACACAGGGTCACTGTGATCAGAATCGACTGGATTCTGCAGCAGCCACAGCCGCCAGTGATTTGGATGCTGGAGTCTGAGACCCACCCTCAGGTGGTTGGTTGAAATGCTCAGTGAACCTGAGTTTACCATAGAGTACTAGGTACAGGGTGTACTAGGTACGGGGTGTACTATGTGTACAGGGTATACTATGTGTACAGGGTGTTGCTGGCAGGCTTAGAAGAGCATATGTGCTGCAAGGGCAGGTGGGATGCAAATGAACTTGCAGAAGCCCCTCTGGGAAACTGGCGGGTTTATCTTCTTCCTAACAATTAGAAGCCTGGGCATTAGTGCTTCTATTGTGTGTGAGATGCCCCCTACACACACACTGTACTCCTTTTTTTCTTCTTTCTTGGCTTAAGACGCGAGAAACTCAGTCTCTGCCCTGGAGGCCCGCAGTCCCAGCCAGGCAGTCGGCAGGGCCACGCTGTCTCCGGCGGCTCTTCCCGAGCCTCTCCTGCCTGTGCCTGGCTTGTGTGCTGTTTGTTTAGTGGTTTGGTGAGTTTTTCACTTCATTGTTTTTCCCTCATTTTACTTTTAGTGAATTGTTCTTTTTCATTTTTCTCTTTTGCAGATAAAGACTATTTCCTGATTGTGATTCAGAATCCAACTGAATAAGCCGCTCTTGGCCCCGGTGTTACTCCTTAATTTAATGCTCCCCAAGATGACTAGTGTTGATTATGCCAACCCCCCTGCAAGTGGAAGTCACCTGAGAGCCCACTAGCACCAGTCTAGTGACCAAGGGTGGGCTCCGCTCCCCCCGCCACAGGAATCCCTCAGCTGCACCAACTACTCCCAGGGTCCCAGGCTGAGGGCTTTCTTCTAGGAAGACCCCCACCCCCACCCGCTGCCTCTGATCACTTCTGGGGTTGGGAGCAAGAGCTTGTGAGAAGCAGCCCAACCAGCTTCCTTCTGACCTTCATTCAGTTCATCTGTCACCCTTGGAAAAGGCTGTTTTTCTTTAACTAAAAATAACCAAGATGCTTGCTTACCCTGCTGTTGTGTCTTTAAATACTAGGTTGAAAAGGTCCCTCCTCTTGGGTAACTGTGGTCTGACTACTTGCTACCTCCTCCAGGTCCCGGGTCTGCAGGTTGGCCACTGAAAGGCCTGCTCCAGGCCGTGCCGTGGCTCCGCTCACTGAGCTTCAGTTAGCCTGGACTCTAATCAGTGTCCTGGGCTCCGGGTCTCCCGTCCCTACACATCCCATTGTTACTCTGCACTCCCACCACTGACTGTCACTTGCACTGGGGAAGGTCAAAGGGGATGATGTTGCAAACGCAGAATGTGCTGGGCGTGTTACAGACCGAAGCTCCTGTCATCCTCCCAGTACCCTCCACAGTCAGGGTGGCAAAGCCATCGGAAAGATGAGGAAGGTGGGTTGAGAAGGGCTTGCCCGAAGTCTCAGTCAGGAGGCTCACAGCTCTGCTCCCCCCACTACTGCCGGCCCCGCACAGCCTCGCTGGTTCCGTGCCCCAGTGAGTCCATCCTGGACAAACGTCCATCCTCCCTTAGACGCCTCCAGGGTTCCGAGCACAGACCTGCCGCCCAGGAGCACTCCGCCTGTCTTTGGTTTCTTGTTAGCAGGACAGATTCAAAACCGTGCAGCACAAATACGAAACATCCTTCCTTGTCCTTCCTTCTTTCCCCAGAAGTGGCTGCTGTGTCATGAGGGCTTCTATTTAGCAAAAATACTTTTCTAACTTTTCCTGTGGCATTTCCCTAATTGTATCAGGGGAGTAAAACACCCCTGGGAGTCTTAAGGGTGTGGCTTCTAAAGGCTCAGCAAAATTCCTTCAAAACCTATTTTCATGAAAGACCACAGGGACTTTCCACTCCATAATACATCCATGTTTATCTTAACGTAAAAACAATCCTTTCAAATAACTTTCCTTGAGTCTTTAAGTAAAACTGATTCCCTAGGAAGCCACTGCATGTCTCCCCTGACCTGTGAACATAAGCCGCATATCCCGAGGACAGGGCAGGTGCGGAACTAGAGCAAAATGACCCTGTTGGAAAAGCAAGCTGATTTGTTCTGTAAACCTTCCCCCAAACCACAATAAATTTTAAAAATGTATATATGAACCTGGTATCTTCCCTTTGTTCTCAGATGTTTGAGGTCAGGATCCAAGTCTCAGGTTCCTGGTCCTTCTGGCTTAAGCTACTCCAAGAAGGATAATGGGTTTGATTAAAATGAATTATCCAGGGAGGTGAGGTAAGCTGCTAAGATGGCTGCTTCAGAAGAGAAATGGGGACGGATGGGCCTCACCCTAGGGGACCAAGGGGACAGCTAGCAGTAGGGTCTAGGGCCTCCCCTAGTCCCCTGGCCACTCGCGTTGGTTCTCAAGTTCCCATCCTAACACTCCTCCATCAGGGTCCTGGGGAAGAGTATCAGCTCAGTCTGGCTGTGGGAAAAGCCAGACGGTTCATGAGCATGCAAACACCCACCTCCCAGTCACCTAACATGGCATTTCCAACACTGGAAAGTTTCCCACAGGACCCCCACCTCAGATGAGGGTAAGTCTGTAATGTAGCATGTATAACTATGGACACGTCTGAAGATGTTAAAAATGAGATTTTGAAATTCTAAAGATGTTACATGTGCAAAAATCCTAGGGTTTCTGTACTTAAAATAGCAAGTATATGGAAATACAGCACCTGTTAAGGTCAGAAACTGACAGCTGTCCTGGGTGTGGGGAGGGGCATGGTTTGTGCCCACCACCAGCCTTTCGTTACAGGAATTTTCGAACATACAGAAATGCTGAAATAATTAAATACTCTCTTAAATTCTACAGTTAACACTGCTATGTTTTTTTTTACCACATAGCTATCCATTCTGCCATTATTTTCTGATGCATTTCGAGTATGTTTCATTTAGTGTACACACTCCTAACTGCATTATGAGTTTACATTTGCTTGCTCTGGAAGTAGTAAAATTACACACAGTGATAAAGGCACAGATTTCACAGTGACTTCTGACCCTGTTCAATATAGGATCACCCAAGGAAGCACTGGGGCTTCCTCCCAATCTCCAGTCCCATCCCCTGCTAATTTCTCCTCCTAGATCCCTCCCCGCAGCTGGAAGCTCTGGGCTGGGGCCCCTGAGCACAGGGCTGGCGTTTCAGGGAGTGGCGGCTTCTCCAGAAATGCTGAAACACCTCCATCCTTCACCCCTTCCTCCACCTCAGCACCCGCACTGTTCCTCAGTCCTGGCATTCTTCTGTGAGCTTTTTCTCCAAAAATGTATCTTAAAAACACTCCAGGAATAAAAATAAAACGGGGATTATAGGGTTTCTCCATAGTGTTTCATATGTTTGACTCTTAAACCAACTGCAGGATTGCACCTTCTTAAATTGCAATCTAAGCCAGCTCTCCACACCAAATGCAGGTTCTGTTTGTCTTCACTTACCAAATGGGGGCGGCTGAAATGAGGACCAAATTGGTAAACACAATCAATGGTAAAAGAACTTAGGCTGATCAGTCATATATTCACTTAAAAAGGGAAGTAACACAATTATGCAACAGGCAACATGCTAGCCCCCATTTTGTTAAACTAGTTGAACGAGATTAACTTTATTCTGATCTCTGTTCTGGTTCTACTGTCCTTTAAATTTGGTCTCTGGCTATAAAATGATACAACCACTGTGAAAAGTAATATGGTGATTCCTTAAGAAGTTAAAAATAGAAATACCATTTGATCCAGCAATATATCCTAAAGAAGCGAAAGGCAGGACACAAATTACATGCACACCTATGTTAGGAGGGGTCGCTATGAGTTGGGTCTGACTCGATGGCACATAACAGCAACAGCAATATGCTCATCATAGCACTATTCACAATAGCAAATACATGGAAACAGCCTAAGTGCCCATCAGCCAAGGAATGGATAAACAAACTGTGGTACGTACACATAATGGAATACTATGCAACCCTAAAGAATAATGTAGAATCTGCAAAACACTGCACAATGTGGGTGAACTTGGTCATTATGCTAAGTGAAATAAGTCCATCACAGAAGGGCAAATATTGTATTAGTTCCTTATTGTAAAAAATCAAGGAAAAGTTTATACATGGAAGAAAATTTAGTTGGTTACCAGGAATACAAGGGGAGAGAAAACTCCTAGATAGACTGGAAAGAAAAAAAAAGTTTTATGTACACACACACACACACACACACATATATGTATAAGGAAGATGGGGCAATCTACTTCCGTAGTGATACTGCCTCAGAAACCCAAGGAGGGGTCGCTATGAGTCGGGTCCAACTTGACAGCACATAACAATGTGTACATATATGTACACATACATACATACATATACACACATGCCAAAGATTAGTGGTTACGAGGAGTAGGAGTAGGTGATGTACTCACTCTGGCTGGCCTCTAACAGTACTCCCTTGGGCCCCTGGTTCTCAGGATGCCCTCCACACACACTCCTTCTGTTGATTGAAGTGAAGCAGATCACCCCTGTGGTAGTAAAGATTGTGTGTCAACGTGGCTGGGCCTGGTTGAGTGGCTGGGCAGCTGGTGGTGGTTATTCCCCTTGATGAGATTGGTAATCAGCTCCACGGTGCAATCTACTGGAGCAGCTGAGTAGCTGCTTTAGGGATGTGGGCTGCTTCCTGCATATAAGGAGAAGCCTTGGGGAATGCTCTCCAGCTTTCTGGCACACCTGGACCCTGCACGTAGCCAAGTCATTGTTCAGCAGCCTGCCATTCCCTGTCAATCTTGGGACTTTCCCTGGACTTGATTCAGTGCCCTGACGTGCTGTTTGGTGATATCCAGACTGTGCCTTTTTACCTGTCAACCTTGGGTTGGCAACCTCAGCAGCCAGCAGCTGTCTGAGTGAAGAAACTCCAGCTCCAGTGGGCCGGGAGCAGGAGGCAGAGCTGAAGCCCAAGGTCGAGGAGCTTCCACCCAGTCCCTAGAGCCTGGCACCTAGAACTTGGACTTCTAACCTCCAGAATTTTAAGAGAATAAACTCCTGTTTGTTAAAGCCGTCCCGTGTGTGGTATATTCTTGTCAGTGCAGCACTCGGTAACCAAAACAACCCCCCTTTCCCTCCACTAAAAGCTGTCCTCTGATTCCCAGCTCTTTCAGAGATTCAGCAAGAATGCAAAATCACTTAGGGCCATCTTGTTTAGCAGTCCTACATGGTCACATGCCACCCCTTGGCAAATGGCAACTATTGTCCTGGGCCTCAGCTGAAACTGAGATGAAGATAATTCCACTTTAATATCCTCCAAAAAGGAGCTCTGGTAGCATAGTGCCTAAGGCACTTGACTGCTAACCAGAAGGCTGGTGGTTCAAACCCACCAGCCACTCCTTGGAAGGAAGATGGGGCAATCTACCTCTATAGTGATAACTGCCTCGGAAACCCAAGGAGGGGTCGCTATGAGTCGGGTCCAACTTGACAGCACATAACAACAACAGCATCCTCCAAAAAAACCAAACTCACTGCCATTGAGTCAATTCTAATTCACAGTGACCTACATTGGGTCTCCAAGGCTGTAAATCTTTACTGAAGCACACTGCCCCATCTTTCTTCCACAGAGCAGCTGGTGGGTTTGAACCACTGACTTTTTGATTAGGAGGCAAATGCCTTAACCACTACACCA